AATTGGATTAAAAATCGAACCGATAAGTTTTTTGATTCAACATTCAATTGAATTCAACCGATTAAGTTTAGGTTAAACTATTTATTAAATAAATTAATAATATAAAGTTAAATTTTATAAATAAATCATACATAATCGTATATTTACATCTTATTGAAATAAAATTTTAAAATTATTTAAAATTCAATTCAACTAGATAAATGGTAGACATAATAACTTAACTAATGATACGTTTAATTTCAACTTTATTAAAAAATAATTTAAATAATGTAAATAATTACAATAAAATAAGATAAATCATTAACACTAAAAACAAAATAATAGAACATAATATTTAAAATTTTATTCAGATAATTTATTATACCTAAATTAAATAGAATATAATACTAAAAATAAATAAACCATAAATTCTAAATTAAATGACGATGACCAATATTAAATTGGATAAGTGACTATGTTTTAAATGAGTAACGTGATAAATATTGAATGTGGGTGAAAGAAACAAAATTTTCAATTATTTCTTTTTTGTGAAAGGAAAATAATCCTGTCTTAGTTTGTATAAGTGTATATCAACATACGCAATGACCTTTTTCTTCTTCTTTCTTTTGATTAAATTTCAAAATTTTACCCTTATATAAATAATTCTCTTATTTCAAATTTAAATAGTTTTATTTTCTATGTTACGTTTTTGCACTTAAAAGTAATGATTGTTTATTTTTAAATAATTTGACACTCATAACATATAACAAATTATTAAGAATGATAATAGAAATTTATGGATACATATATTAATTTTTTGTCCTGATAAATAAATATAATATTTATATTTGTTTCATATATGTTTAGATATCTTCTAATAGATACTCGTGAATTTTAAGATATTTTCGACTATTTAAGATATTCATAAATATTATTATTTAAATAATTTTTTTAAAATATTATAATTAAATAAAATTCATTTATTGTCTTTTTAAAATATATAAGAATAATTTCAAATCTAACACTTAATAGTAATAATAATAGAAAAGTAAATAATACTTATTTTATTTCTTCTCTTACCACGTAACTATACTAAATTAAACAAATAAAAATAATAATAATAATAATAATAATAATAATAATAATAATAATAATAATAATAATAATAATAATAAAAATAATAATAATAAATCCAAAATTCCATAAAATAACAATATAATTGTTTTAGTTTCAACAAAATAATATCTAAATAATTTTGACATGTAAGTTGAATCCTTGTGATTGCCTTGTAATAACTATTTTTTAAGTTAAAAAAAATTGTTGACTAAAAAAACAAATATCTAATGAATAATAATTATATAAGAATTTTTCTAAACTTTAAAGTAAAACATGTAATTTATATGTCATTAAAAAATAAACACGATATCAATTTTTAACTATAAAAAGGTGCGAAAGAAAAGAAAAACAATTTATCGTAAAAAAATATAAGTTATACATCATTATCAAAAGTGACATCACCAATTTTTTGATTGAGGGTAAAAGTATGAGAGGAGATTAACACTATTTAAATTTGAAATAAATAAAAATAAAAAGATTTTCATGGGGTGCAAAGCTTAATTTCTTATATACCTATTGCTATTTCATTTCTATGGGTATGATATTGTGATTTATTTTATTATTAAAGAGATGGGTTGACGAACTGTATCTAGTAAAAATTTGTTATAAATCATCGACTAATTTATCATTTAACTGTAGTTTTTACAAAACAGAGCTTTAAATAAGAACATGCATAATACTATGTGAATTCGTGATGGGTGGTCTATCTTGCGATATACAGCGGTTCTCATTTATAAATAATCTTAATTTTTTTAACATAAAATTTTAAATCTTATGTTGACCACTTTCCGATTTGCAATGCTTTTATGTGCGAATTTTGTTTCTTTCTTTCTATATAATCTGTTGGAGCCTTCTACGATGTTGATGACGTAATACAGTACTATTGAAATCCATAAGTTTTTAGGAATAAACACTGTAGCAATATGTTTATTTATTATATTAGAGTGATTACTCTATTTAAAAAACACTAGAGGCCAAAGATTTATACGCGGTGAGTTAGAAAAAGAAAGAAAAAAGACTGAATCTGCCTCAAAAAGAAATATTTGTTGAATTTTTTTATGTCAATAATGTGGGCAAAGAAGATAGTTATTGGTCGTACCTTTATATTAAATTTATTCATATTTATTTAAATAATTCGATTTGATAAATTTATAATTTATGATTTAGACTCTTTAATTAAATAGACTTATAAAAACATAAATTTTTTATTTTTTATGTAAAAAATCTGATTTAACTTAAATTTATATAGGTTAAACCGTAAATTTTTGTTAATTGGTAGATATATTTCCACCTTTGAAAAGAAATAGTTTATTTTTTTCATTAGAATGTATTTCAAAAAAATAATTCATATTATTGAGTCTAAAAAATTAGAATAAGTAACACTGTATTTTTTTAAATGCAATAAAATAGATCATCTTATAGACAAAATTAAAATTTTAAGACGTTCTTATATAAGTCTTGCTTGTTACATGTTTGTTTTTGTAAATAATCACTTTTGAAAATTTCATATGTTTTCTTTATAAAATCTCAATTCATTTTTATTATAAATAACAAACATAAAACAACATATACCTCTCATAAAAATTTCTTTGACGCAATATCTATAATGCTAAACATCAAAATAAACTTTTTATATTCAAAACAAATAATATTATTTTTATCCTAATTCTTTGTGTTCGAAATAAAATTATTAATAATGCAAAATTTATATATAATTCAAATAGCAAATAAATTATTTTGCAAAGAGGAAATTGATTTTAAATTATTTTACAATATCCGTAAAATATTAATATCATTATTTCCATTAATAATTATTATATATATATATATATATATATATATATATATATATATATATATATATATATATATATATATATATATATATATATATATATATATATATATATATATATATATATATATATATATATATATATATATATATATATATATATATATATATATATATATATATATATATATATATATATATATATATATATATATATATGGATTAAATATATTTGTGATTCTCTTAAATATTTTATATTTTACTTTTAGTTTCTCGAACAATTTTCTTTTAAGAATGCTCTCAAAATTTTCCATTCACTTTTGGCTCCTCCTACAATTTAGCAATGATTTTTATAATTTAACGACAGAGTTAACGATAATCTATTACTTAGTGGCTGAATTAGTGAAGATTTTCGCAAGAAAATTAAAAGTGTTGATGAAATATTTTAGAAGAAATTTTTTTGAAAAATTAAAAGTGAAATATGAGATATTTGAGAGAATCACAAACATATTTAACTCTATTTTTTTTATAAAAAATTAAATATATTTAATTTTTCTTCTTAAAAAGTATTTATATTTTTTTGTCTCTTTATTTTAAATTAATCCTCTATTTTAAATTTAAACAATTTTGATTTTTTATTCAAATTTTTGCATCAAAATAATGACAAGTCTAATTCTCAAATTTTTATTCAAATTATATATATATATATATATATATATATATATATATATATATATATATATATATATATATATATATATTTTTTTTTTTTTTTTAAATTAAAAAAAATCTCTATCTTCTCACGTTTTAACATTAAAAATTTTAATGAGGCGTAAGTATATTTTTATCTCTAAAATCATATAAACAAAATTTAACAAATAACACATTTAAAAATGAAAAGATATCATTTTAATTACAAAATTATGAAAGAAAGATCAAAATTATTTTAATTTAAAAAAAGATGAAGAGGTAAAATAAGGAAATCTAAATCATTATAGAATATATTTTTTTATTATTTTAAAACATAATTTATAATTTGCGTCAAAAGAATAAAAAACATTTAATGAATAATGAACTCTCCTAGAAGAGTAGAAGTCAATTTATCTTGATTTAAGGTTTAAAGTTTGAAATCTCTAGTGAGTTAAATCTCTAAAAATAGTTTATTGTCTATTTTATTGATTTTCAATTTGAAAAATTGGTCTATAAAATTACACCTAAAAAATAGTTGATTTAGTGTGTCAAATCAATATTGATAATTGTAGGTAGACATTTAATCCGAAACATCCTATTTATTTATTTATTTGGTTAAAATTCTAATAAATTCCCTAGAGGCATCTCCGTATAATTCCCGTGTTGTACTTGCCAATCAGGACGAATAAATCATAAATGAACAATAACAAAATAGAAAAACAAGTTAGAGGGAACACGCAACACAAGATATTAAGGTATGCCAGTAGTAACTAATTAGAGGCAAAAAGAAGTTTAAAGTCAAGGATTATGACAAAGACAGTTAATGAAGATGAGACAACACAGATAGACACATTTTCTTGTTAACGCGTTTTCTCATAATCCCTCGTTGAACAGTCATTGTGAAGTGAAGTGTGAACCTTTGATTATTTGTCTTATTATTCTCAAAGACTCTTTCAACTTCAAATTGCTGCTTGTTTTTTCTCATCTTTTTTGAGTGTTTCAACCATTAAGGACCCACTTTTTTTTTAATTTCGATATCTCTACATTGACTCACCCAAGTATCTAGACCTCTCAGTTTTTGATAGTTTTTCTCAATCATAGTTTCCATGCATATAAGTTAATTACTGGTTTATTATCCTGAAATGCAGTTTATGAAGTCAAGTCTTTGTCTTTATTCAGAAAGTTTAGTAGTAACTTGAGCATGAAGTTGGTCTCGCTTCCCTAAAGGCCAAAAGTATAGATATACTGTTATTCATGTGTTCCCACTTTCATTTCTACTCATGTTCATTTTCCTCTTGGTGTATGAATCATTTAAAGTTGGTGACTGAAGAGTGTACAAACAAGTTATACACATTTCAACTTATTTAGAAAATCAGAACCCTGACCCCTTTTGCACATAAAGTAGCTAGGAGAATTAAGGATGAGTCTAGTTTATGAATTTATGTTCCTTTTATTTTCACACCTTGTACTGCGTCTTGTGTTGGCGGGTGGATATGAGGATAAATACGGAGATTGTCCAACTTCATTTAGTTGTGGATATCTTGGCAATATCAGCTTCCCTTTTACTACAACACAACGCCAGGACTGTGGCTTATTGCCAATACAATATTGTGATGATGTTTCAATGAAGCCCAAAATGATCCAACTTCAGAATAAAAGGAAACAGTTTGAGTTTGACGTAGAATTTGTAAGTCCAACAGAGTATCACGGAGGTCATGCTACTTCTGATTGTGTTTTTAGAGACAATAGTCTGCGCAAACTGCTGAAAAACCAACGTTGTGAAGCGTTCAGATATAATTACACTCTTCCTCTCACTCCTCACTTTGCTTTTTATTTGGAAACTTACACAAGCTTGTTCATGTGCAACCGTACCCTCCGTTTCAACCCTCCGACATATATTCATAACTATACAAAGTGCCCTCACTATAATTTCTACTACCAGCCTCACATCTATACTGATAAAGAGTCTTGGAGTGCTTTTACAGCTTGTGCAAATGTCAAACTTCCTATTAAAGACATCCCTGACTCTGACGATCCTTTTACTTTTATAACTGCTGATATCCCAACTAAAGTAAGCGTAACAGAGGAATGTGCATATTGTCACTACAACCAAAGAGGACGGTGTCAACTTGACAGCAATGGAAGTTTTTTTTGTGCCAATGGTATACTAAAACAGACACCCGGGAAACATTATAGGTTCATAGTTGTTTCCATTTAAATTTGTGACATAGTTTATTTTCCTGTAAAATACCCCAAGCCTAGTTCCTTCTCTCACATTATCAGAGTCAGAGATCTCAAGAGTTGTTGCACTACATTGATGTGCCTAATCTAAGTAAAAACTTGGTGTCTTCAATATTTTGATTTTGAATTTAGCATTTACTACACTTTTCAGCTGATTAACTATTACTCTTGGATGGCAAGAGCCGACTTCCATTATTTGACAGCCTAATATTGTCTGTGCAACACTGAATTATGAAGCCATATTTTTCTTGCACAACTTTATTTTCATATGTCAAATCTGAGTTGTTTCCTCTATTTGCAGCGGTTGCAAAGCGAAAAAGGCTGAGGCGGAATCTTAAACTGGGTATAGGTAATCTACATTACTTTCAGCACATGATTTCAAATTCATTGATCTTGAGTGCGAAAGTTCATTAGTATACTCCAACTCATAGGATCTTCAGTTTTGTTCATATTTATTTTGATAAATTTTTTTGGTTCAAAATACATGTTTGTATGATTCCAATATGTGCAATGACAGGTTCCATTCCCTTAGTTATTCTTATAGTAATCTTAAATTGATATATTCTTTTGCTCATTTTCCACAGGTTTGGGTATTGGAATCCTGGGCATCTTGTTTATCGGGTTTCTGTTTCTCCAACTCTACAAACGAAAACATGTTATCTCTGTTGGACACTTCCAATCTAGTAACTCTTATTCTGATTCGTCCATAAATCCACGCAGAGAAATTGGTAGTAAACACTTTGGAGTTCCATTATTCTCCTACGACGAGCTTAGAAAAGCAACAAACAATTTCGACCATACTAAGGAACTCGGAGATGGAGGTTTTGGTACTGTCTACTTTGGTAGGTATACAATTATCTGACATACTAAATTAATCTTTCCATCTTATTGTTTAACTTATACTTCAACCTTAAAATCCAGGAAAACTTCCCGATGGACGTGAAGTAGCTGTCAAACGTTTATACGAACACAACTATAGAAGAGTAGAACAGTTTATGAATGAAGTTAATATCCTGACAACTTTACGCCATAAAAATCTCGTGTCCCTCTATGGCTGCACATCGCGGCACAGCCGTGAACTACTGCTTGTGTACGAATATATCTCAAATGGCACCATTGCAAGTCATCTCCATGGTGAATTGGCCGAGTCCAACTTACTACCGTGGTCTATACGAATAAAAATTGCCATAGAGACTGCTACTGCCTTGACTTATCTCCATGCTTCTGGTATCATCCACCGTGATGTGAAAACCAGTAACATACTCCTTGACGACAATTTTCGTGTTAAAGTTGCAGATTTTGGCCTTTCAAGATTATTCCCTGAGGATGCCACTCATGTCTCCACAGCTCCGCAAGGGACACCAGGTTACCTTGACCCCGAGTATCACCAATTTTATCAGCTTACTAGCAAGAGTGATGTATATAGTTTTGGAGTTGTTTTGATTGAGCTAATATCATCTAAGCCTGCCGTTGATATAAACAGAAGTAGGGAAGAGATTAACTTGTCAACTCTAGCAACAAAGAAGATTCAAGAAAGTGCAATTGATGAGCTGGTAGATCCTAGTCTTGGTTTTCGTTCAGACAATGAGGTTAATAGCATGATAGTTTCAGTGGCAGAATTGGCATTTCAATGTTTGCAAAGGGACAAGGAGTTGAGACCTTCTATGGAAGAAGTGTTAGATGAACTTAGGAGAATAGAGAGTGGGAGGGATGTGGTTGAGGTTGTAGACGAAGCAGATGTTGATGCTGTTGGTGGTGGATCTTCACACAGTAATGTAAATCCGCCACCAGCCTCACCTGAATGGGATGAAGTTGGTTTATTGAGGAATGTGAAAAATATGAAGCATCCGTCTTCACCAAACACCGTCACTGATAAATGGGAAAGTATTAGTACTACACCTAATGCCAGTGCTTAATCACAGGTTAATATCAATTGTTGATAATGTATTTTTACTGAATCAACTTTAAGCAATGATTGTTAATTGAAACATGAAAATGAGTGAGTACAATGTATCATTCTCGTCTCATCCGTTTGTATAGATGGTAATACGATGATTATTTTACGAGACATTATGGTCAGGCAAAAATCTGAGATCTAGATGGAAGTACATGTAATTATCATAAAAAGAGGTACAGAAATAAAACAAAAAATGGAAAATTTTGGGCACAATGCTTGCTATGCTATTCTACAGTTATCTTCTTATCCTTGGATTTTTTTTTTTAAATTTAATAAATTGTTATATGATAGCATCTAGCATCTTTTTGTCATATAGAAAAAATGTTCCAAGAATGGAACATTCACATATTTTGGAGATTCATAGTATTATGATGTCTTTTTTCCTCTAATCTTCTGAATGATAATTTGCAAACTATATTTGTTCACATCTTGTTGCTCCACCAAGTAATTTATCATATTTTAATATACTGCCTAAACATATAGTACATCCCGGTGCAAACAGTACAGACCAACTTTAATGAAAACTGATTTAGACCAGTTGATACAATAAGGAACCCCGACCACATACCGGTCCGAGCTACTCTTTGAATTTAAAATGATGAGAAGTAAAAATCTATTTGATTCAACTGGTTTAGTTGTCAAAGCGATGGCTTGATTCAAACTGTGGTTGAACCAACTAGGTCTTTTAAACTGGTTCTAACTAGTAGTTGAACCTTAATATGCAGTTAACAAAAACATAAAAATATAATGGGAGAAAAAAGAAAAAGATGATACCCTACAAATTGTTTTAGATAAAAATGACCAGGGCCCAGAAATTTTGTCCTCGTTTTCTTGCCTTTGCCTTTTGGGCAAGGTTTCATGTTGGAAGCTAAATTTGAAACTACATGTCCTATGAAATATATTGAAAGTCATGAAATGTATGTGTGACTGTCAAACTGAAGACGCCTTTTTCATCATATGTACGCCTCACAGACTTGAAATAGGATCAGGAAAAGAGAAGAGATAGAAAGAAAAATCAGAAATATAATGTTCCCAGGTATAGACTCTAGTTTATTTTATTTCTAAGAATACAGTGTAAAGTTTAATGTGGAAAAAAGTGAGAGAGAAAATATGGATGGTTATATTCCCTCTAATGGTTAAACCATCAAATAAATAAGTTCCAAGTTGGAACAATAAATAAATTGGCAGCGTTTGAATGTTGAAGGATTCGTTGTCTGAATGTGCTGTTTTGTCAATAAAGGAAATATAGCAGAGGGGTCCAGTTTCATTGGTGGGATAACTAAGAAATGGCCAGCAACCATACCTTTCTAACTTTGAATTGTATATCTAACATTTATATGGACTACGGTTAATCTAATGTGCCTCTCTTTTTCTTTAAGTCTTTCTCCATTTTTCAAGTCAACTGACCTATCAAATAAGTTCCCCTTTTAGACCAGTTGATACATACATGATACTGATATATATCTATTTGTGAAGACAATGCATATATTATGCATGTCACATTTCACACTACTAGTACTTAACCTTCCCTACATCACTTTTTTCATGTTAAGAATCCATTACTTCCTCCTCGTAAAGTTAGGATGTCTCTAATCCATTTGTTCTGCTTGCTTTTGCTTTGTCACCTCGTGCTGATTTTATCAGGAGGGTATGGAAATGGGTACCAGGATAACTGTCCACACTCATTCAGCTGTGGAAGTCGTGGGATTTTTAGTTACCCTTTCACCAAGGCAGACCAACCAGACTGCGGCCTCATACTCTTACATAGCTGTGATGACAGTTATTATTCACCCAAATTTATCCAACTGGAGGAGAATGCAGGAACCACAGAGCTAACTGGCCCCGTTAACCAGAATACCATTACACTTTCTGATCAAGATTTTTATAAGCGTTTGCAAAATAACCCTTGTGGCACTTTGAATCGCAGTTATCCTCTTCCTCCCCCTTCTCCTTTGGTTTCTTTTTATATAGTTTATAATGTAACTCTCTTCCGATGCAATCGCAGCCACAATATCGAACCCCCTGCACAATATTTTCGATACCCCTGTCCTTCCGATGATATCTATTATAACAGGAAACTATATCCCAATGATACTAAAGAAAAGGAACGTAGCCTTTTCTCATCCTGCTTGGTTCTTCAATTTCCAGCTAAAGACTTGACTGATACCAAAAACATTTTATCATTTGTATCTGCTCAGGTGAGTGTTAAAATAGAATTATCTGCTGATTGTGAAGAGTGCTGCAACCACAGAGGAGGCCAATGTCGACTTGATGCCAACAATAAGTTCTACTGCCATAATGGTAAGCTTCAGATAAATTTTTCATATCATACATTCCATTTGTTGATTTATGGTTTACTTATGAAGTTTCTTCAAATTGGCTTTATGTTGCAGAGCCGAAGAATAAGAGAGTTTATTTTAAGCTGCTACTTGGACTTGGAATAGGTAATATATAACTCATAATGTTTTTAATACATAACCAAGAGTAAGAATTCATATATTTATAAATGATGATCCTACTATATATATATATATATATATATATATATATATATATATATATATATATATATATATATATATATATATATATATATATATATATCTTATATTTAAAGTTTTGTCTGAGTGAAGGTTGAATTTTTCTACTACAGGTTTAGGCATTACATTGGTTGCACTGGGTATTCTTATAGTTCGATGCCTCTCCAGAAGAAAACATGCTCGATCAAGCCTCCAGAATCAATCGAAAAGAAAATCATATAATGATGAAATCGATCCATATCAAAATCAAGACTCAGAAAACGGCACTGTCTACTTTAAAATACCTCTGTTCTCTTATAAGGAGCTAGAAGAAGCTACAAATAATTTCCACCAAGCCAACAAACTTGGAAGTGGAGGCTTTGGAATAGTTTATTACGGTAAATCATTCCCTTCCCAAACTTCATTCCCTATTGGAACATAGATTAGTTGTATACTTGAGCTGTATTTTCATGCATCATGTTGAGAAACTAATTACTATCTGGTCTGATCCTTAACGAATAACAACCAGGGAGACTGCAAGATGGACGAGAAGTTGCTGTTAAGCGCCTATACCAACATAACTGGAGGCGAGTAGAACAGTTCACAAACGAAATTGAGATCCTTGCTCGCACCCGACACGCAAATCTTGTGTCCCTCTACGGTTGTACTTCACATCACAGCGATGAACTACTGCTAGTGTACGAATATGTTCCAAACCACACTGTTGATTTTCATCTCCAAGGTGATCTAGCAAGAACAAGAGTAATGTCTTGGCATATCAGGATGAAAATTGCCATAGAGACAGCAAGTTCATTGGCTTATCTGCATGCTTCTGGCATAATCCACCGTGATGTGAAAACCAAAAACATTCTCCTTACAAACAGCTTCAGTGTCAAAGTTGCAGATTTCGGTCTTTCAAGGCTATTCCCCCATGATATCACTCATGCTTCCACAGCACCACAAGGGACACCGGGTTACGTTGACCCAGACTATCATCAATGCTACCAGCTAACTAACAAGAGTGATGTATACAGTTTTGGCGTTGTGCTTGTTGAGCTTATATCATCTAAGCTTGCTGTTGATATGGACAGGCATAAGGATGAGATTAACTTGGCAAACCTGGCCTTAAAGAAGATCCAGAAGGGTGAATTTACTGAGCTGGTGGATCCTAATCTTGGTTTTGATTCAGACAATGAGGTTAAGAGGATGATAGTATCGGTGGCAGAGTTGGCTTTTCAATGTTTGCAAAGGGAAAAGGAATTGAGACCTTCCATGGATGAGGTTTTGAAGGTGCTGATGAGAATTGAAAGTGGGAAGCATGAACCTGAGCATATAGTTGAAGAAGATGTGCATCCACCTTCACCAGATGGAAATGAGGATGAGATTGGACTTTTCCAAAAAACAACGCGACAGCCTTCACCTAAAGCTGTGGTTGATGAATGGGATAGTCGAACTACTACGTCTAATACCATCAGTGGTCATTAATCGTATAGACCTGCATCAGATATCTAGCTCAGATGACCGCACCATCCAAACGCAGTCCCTCCCAAAGCCGGCTCGAACCCAGATGCACGTCATTGGATTCCATCCCACATGCAACTTCTTTCGTGCAGTGTCACGGGTGCATGCCGTACACGTGCCACCATATATGGACATTTCTATACGGTTGTTCATTATGGATGTACACTTGGTCTGAGTTACTTGAAACTCACGCATTTCCTGCTCGTTTTCTTTTTATTTTTCCAAGTTTCAACATTGTTGTTGTATTCAAACTATTTCTTTTCCTATTTTTCATTTCTTTTCAAGAAGAGTCTCTTGAATGCTATTGCTATTTGTGCTCTATTTTTATTCTCTTTGAGCAAGATAAGTGCAAACATCAAACCATGTAATAAAAGATAGATCTATTGTGGTTTCAATTTTGAATTATATGAGTGTTACTTATATTGGACGTAGGAGTAAATGGATATTTGACTCAGGTGTCACTCATCATACAACATTTAGTTTCAAACTTTTTTTAACTTAAACTCACACCTTCCAACATTCTTGATATTACAGGGTTCTCATACTTGAGTAGATGGTTGTAGGACACTGACCTTTAATCTTTTATGTTGAGTAATGTGCTCTGTTTTCAATTTTTCGAATAATCTTCTCTCTATTTTTAAGTTTATAAAAGATCATAATTGTTCAATGATTTTTTCCCACTTTATTGAAGTTAATGAAAAATAATAGAATTAACATCTCACCTCAGATTTATATACCCTCACGCTTATATAAGACATCATCCATTATGTATACTTTTATTATTATATCCTTGTGAATAATCACTAAATTAAAAAAAAAACATGAATTTTATCAAAAATTTCAAAAATAAAAAAGGATTTTCGAAAAAATACCTAAATTTTCGAAAAATTATCGGTTTTTTCAAAAAATGCGATAATTTACTTAAAAAAAACATTCAATATTGGAAATTTTGATTTATTTGAAATTTCTGATATTAAATTTTTTTTTTCAATTTTTCAAAAAATTTTATCAGAAATTTTATTCTTTGCCACCCCTAAATTATTTATTGACATTTTTGGAAATAAGAAAAATGAAGGAGCTCCATGTTAATTTCTCTAAGAAATATATGGAGTGTTATATTGTTTATGATACAAAAATTAGTTATATTATTTATTCTTCTTTCTCATAAACATGGTTTCAACGCAATCATTTTTGTCATAATTTTTTTCCATCAATGTTTTGTATGTTTCCATCTTTGTTTTTAAAATAATTTGTTGACTCTTTTAAATACGATGGGCCTCATAACGAATGGATTGAGCCTAAAAGTGTTAAAAAGCCCAAAAGAGAGTATACCTAACGAAGCAAAGTCTTATGAATAGAGAACGTGGGTTCGATAGCAAGAATTGAGAACGTGGGTTCATGAAGAGAAGATACAATAGAGAACGTGGGTTCGATAGCAAGAATGGAGAACGTGGGTTCGTGAAAGGAAGTTACATGGACACGTGGCTCTTAAGGAAGCGGAGCCTGCCAAGAAAGTAGTTATTTTCATGTATTATAAATAAAGCACTTAGTGCGTAGTGTAAAGGGTTCAAACTTTCACATTCTTACACGCTAGTCACTCAAAGTACCCAAGCGAACAAGCGAAATGAGTCAACCACGGGCGATGTATGTTTGAATCAACCTATTTTTAATTGTTTTGATGTTATGTCATATATTTTTACAATTTAAACGTCTTTGTTTTATTTTGTGTTTCATGCGTTATTGTTTTTAGGTCCGCTTCGCCTTAATCGAACGAAACCTTTTGAAAACACTTTGTGAAAATACTCGAGAACTGAGACACTATACTGAGATTCCCTGGTCAATCTCACCAGTAAACTTTATGTTAATAGATCAGCGTTATTTACCAAAACCAGAGGTAAACAAATTGGCACACCTGGTGGGACAATGCTAATAATTTCGTATTTTTGTGTGTAGTTTTACAGAGTGTCTTATAGTTAGTGTGTGTATAAATTTGAGGAGTGGTAAGCTTTTGTCCAAGTCTAAAATTCCATGCTCTGGCACAAACACCACACACATATAGATTTCTACACAAAATATGGATGTCATACCAGTAAATACCACAACTCAAAGCGCGACAGTTTTATCTCCCGTAAGATCGACCATTGTTCATGGTTCAGGGACAACAGTCACAATGACAGAACCTAGGCATGGGATTTCGCCATTTAACCCAAATTGACACTCTTCCCAGGGGGTCCAGGGTCATTATTTGTCCCTTACCAGTATGGTATGCCTTATTCCATGATGGTTGGGTTATAGTCGAACCTGACCACATATACAGAAAACATAATGGTCACTAGAAATCAAGGCAGTTATGTCCCAAGTAGTCGATCGGGTGATGTTAGTTACGTCCCGCAGTCGACACCGTCTTTGAATACTACTTCCGTTTTGGCTTTAAGGCAACAAATGTATGAGAGTAATTTAGAGTCAGTGAACGTTTTAACTCAACAAATAGGATTTGCCCTCAATCTTGTAGTTGATCAAATAGGTAGATTGATTGACTCATTAGGGGTCCAACCGACTCAGGCGCGCCATAGGCCGTTAAGAGTTTTTGAAGAATTGGAGGGGGACAAAAATCAGCATCCTTTTAGACCTAGAAGAGTGAAAACACCCACTCATGAAGAGGAAGAATTCATTGAACAATATGAACCTAGGTCAGTCATAGTTAGGAGAAACCAAGATGTTGATCGAGTGCTAAGAAATTCCACTGTTGAGCGTAACAACATAGTGAATGTGGTAGAAGAAGTATTGACTCGATCTAGAGTAAATGTTACCCTCCGGAGGCCTAATTACTCTTCACCCTTGCCTGATTACATTCGACGGGCAGAATTACCTAGGGGATGTAAGGTACCTAAATTTACCAAGTTTGCTGGTGATGCCAATGAGTCAACCATAGAACACATTCTTAGGTATAAAATAGAAGTTGACGATATCGCCAATGATGAGGGTTTAAAAATGAGATATTTCCCTGATTCATTAATAAAAAAATGCTTTTACTTGGTTTACGACGTTGACTCCAAACTCCATACGTACTTGGGTGTAACTTTAGGGTATATTTCATGAGCAATTTTATGCTGGTCAGCCTAAGAAATGTTTGAAAGAATTATCCCCAATAAAGAGGAAGTGGTCTGAGTCAATGGAACATTATCTAAATAGGTTTATGGTCCTAAAGTTTAGATGTTTTACTAGAGTTCCTGAACATGAGCTAGTCGAAATGGCCGCTGAGGGGTTAGATTATTCTATTAGGAAAAAGTTTAATCCTCGATCTATTACAGATATGTCCCAACTAGCTGACAAAATTTGATATGTCGAACGTTTGAAAACAGAGAAAGCTAGAGTGTCAAAGGACCATAGAAAAGGAAAAATTGCCTATGTAAATACAAAAGATTATTCCATAGAGTGTGAAGATTAATACATGGAAGAAGGAAAGGTTAATGTGGCTGAATTGAAAGTCAGACCTCTGTATGCATGTAAACCTATAAGATTGTCAAAAGGAAAGACGGACGAAGAACCAAAAAATGATGCGTCTAGTACTAAAACATATATTTTTGATGGGTTAAAATGTGATGAAATGTTTGATGTTTTAGTTTCATATGGTCAGATTATAGTGCCTTCTGGAAGTAAAAATCCACCAATTAGAGAATTACATTATGTTGTCAAATCTTGACCTTTCAGGGGATGGACTTTGGATATTATAGGAGAAATTAAACATGCCTCATCGAAAGGCCATAAGTATATCTTAGTGGGTATTGATTATTTTTCAAAATGGGTAGAGGTCGTCGCTCTGGTTAAAGTGGATCAAGAGGAATTAATGTCCTTCATTCAAAACCAAATCATACATAGGTTTGGAAACCCAAAGACTATAACAACAGATCAAGAGACCATGTTCGTAGGTCGAAAGGTAACTGAGTTCGCTGTAGAGATGGGGTTCAAACGGTTAACATCAACGTCGTATTACACTCAGGAGAATGGGCAAGTCGAAGTGGAAAACAAAGTCATTATAAGTTTGATCAAAAAACATGTTGGCCAAAATCCTAGAAGCTGGCATATATCTCTAGCTCAGGCATTGTGGGCATGTCGAAACTCGCCAAAAGAGTCGACCAATACAACGCCTTTGAACTTAGTTTATGGACACGAGGCAGTCTTTCCTCTAGAGATTCATCTGCAATCAGTTAGAGTGCAAAGACAATCAGATATCCCTATTGAATATTACTGAGGAATGATGTATGATACGTTGGTAGATGTTGAAGAACATAGGCTGGCAGCATTAGATACTTTTCTCAGGCAAAAGGAACAAGTAGCAAGGGCCAATAACAAAAGGGTGAATTCAAAGGCATTCGTCTTTGGAGATATGGTATGGAAAGTGATCCTCCCTATGAATAGGAGGGATAGAGTCCTTGGAAAATGGTCAACAAACTGGGAAGGACCATTTAGAGTAGTGCAAGTTTTTTCCAACAATGCTTATGAGATTGAGGAGCTTACACTAGAAGGTCGAATACTACAAGTAAATGACAAATAATTGAAGAGGTATAGGCCTATGTTTCAAGAAATTATGATAAACAAAGGATACAATTCATTGCATAATAAGGAGGCCACTAAGGGCCTGAAATGTGAATCAAGCTAAGCATTACAAAGAAGGATGGAGAGAACAAATTCAGATTACATGTAAAATCGGAAGACTAAAAGGGCACATTATTCTTTAGGGTTATATAGCATTCTTGAGCGAGCGTCAGATGAGCATTGTTAACGAGATAGAGGTATCAAGATCAACTAGCTCAATATCCAATACGCTTCAGATGAACGACACCAACCAGAGCTTCATTATTCAATGCCTGTTCAGCTGCATTAAACCCGACAACTTGCAAAGTCTTTACTTTGTCAATTTTCCTCTCCCGCCCTTCAATTTGTTGCTTTAATACTACGATCTGCTTTTGCCATTGGGAAATATTTGTGGCCCTAGTGTTAAAGTCTTCTCTCTCTTTGTCAAGAGTTTCCTTCAGTTCTTCACTAGCAGCCATGGAAGAATTCACAAAAGCCAATTCAACAGTGCGTTGTTTCTTCTTGGGAAGGTATCTTTCCTGGATCTCTTTCTTTTTAGCCAAGTTGACCAAGAGCTTATCAAGGAAGATAGACGCTCTAACCACAAATTTCAAGACTAAAGGATAAACAACTTGAATGTCAACTTTCCTCAGCATTTTTTAAATCTTAATACCATCAGAAGGATACGCCTCCAAATGGGTGATCAAATCAACATGGAAGAGAATGGTTTTGAGACGATGAAGGACTTCTTCTTGAGTCCCAAGAGAAGAGATACCTCCAGATGCAATAGAAT